ATTGTGTATTCCGAAAAATACTGTTACTATCTACCTTTGATTCAATTTTTGATTGGATACTTAAATATTTTTGTCTTCTAGGTTAAATTATGTTCTGTTCGTGAGGGTTCTGTAACTTTGTAACGATAAAATACTTGGACTCGCCTTTGATATGAAAATATCATGTTTTTTACTGAGTTATGGTGATTTGTTTCTTAACTCACCACTAACTCGTGGTATTTTGAAACTCGTTTCGAGTACTAGTGAGTTGAGTTGACTCAGTCCTATTTTTGCAAGTGTTCTTGACTCCCTACTGAGTTATACCGAGTTACTGTGACTTGTTGGGTTCCTGTGCATAGTCTTGGATTTCTGCTCTGGTTCTGGTATTACTCTACCATTCCATTTAGTATGAAATTTAGAGGTTTCAGGCTCTAGTATAATCTTCCATACTTTTTAATTTTTAGCTATTATTAAACTGTCTATTGTTTTGTTTAATTGATTTGGTTATTAAGGTAAGTGATCTATCACTGCTTACCTTTGTCCAAGATCTCTTGCGTAGATATGGGAATTTGAGGGAGTAGTGGATCAAAGGGTCTCCACTCCTTAAACCTATCAAATTGACAATTCAATTTGATAATTGCTTGTTTGATTTGAACATACTTGTTGATATATAATTCTGTATCCTTGAATTGCATAAGCTGCCTAATAGTTTGTGTAAATTACATATTAAGGAGATATTACTGTAATATTTTGCTTTGTTTTGAATTTTGCATATCTTATATTTTTCTCACTATTTGGATTTGTTATATTCTGTGTGCTGTATAATCTTGATATTGTGACTCTATCAGTTAAAATGACAACTGTACACAAATTTGAAGTTTAGATTTGGAAAGGTACTGGAGACTTTAGTCTAGCACCAAAAGATGATGACTATGTTGTTACAACAGAGGTGTGCTACTGCTTTTGATGGAACATGGGGTACAGAAATTAGATGATGTCGCCTGGAATTCTATCTTTCTTCATTTGTCTGATAATGTGATAAGAAAGATTGGGGAAACCACCACTATCAAAACCTTGTGGGATAAGTTTGGATCACTTTACCTAATTAAGACTATGCCTAATAAATATTATCTCCTAGGGAAATTTTACAACTTCAAATCTGATACCTCTTCTACCTTGGAAGATAATATTGATAAATTCACAAAATTGATTCAAGACTTAGCTAATTGTGATGGGAAGTTATATAATGATCAACAAGTTATTGCCCTGTTAAATACCTTAAGTAACAAGTACATGGAACTCAGAAATGCTTTAGAGTGTTGACATTATCATCTCAGCTATAAGAAATAAAGAACATGAATTAAATTTGAATTTAAGGATGCTTAACTTTTGTGAATGGTTAAATGTTAAAAAGAAACTTATTGAGGAAGCTCTCTCTAAGAATCTTCAATTAGGTGTTTTTCGGGCTCAGTCAAATGTATCTTTTTCTACCAACAAACAATCCAACCGGCTCTGATCCACAACCAATATAATTCATCTCGATTGCTATTCAATTTTACCTACTAAGGACAAGAAACGGTGATGATTTGTGGCCACAAAAGCTATGAGAAAACACTCCAAAGGTAGGTTATGAAGAAACCAACAATTACACAAAGTAAATAAACGTTTTGGACACTTCTAAGGACCTTTTTCACACGCTAAAGGGGGCAGCCGAATTTCTCTTATTTTTCTCACAAACCACAAAAATCATCATTAGAAAGTGACTAGGGTTTATTCCTTATAAATACTCTAGAGTTAGGCTTTTAGATGAACAAAAGAAAAGAAGGTAGACGAGCCAAAATTCAAGCCATCCAAGAAAGAATACAATTCGACCGGGTAGAGCTCATGGATTTAGTTGTTCGACTTATTTCATTCATTAGCCTATGCCTATGAAATAATTAACCCACGTTAACATCATAGCCCGGGATTTATTCGGTATCAAAAGCCCAACAAAACTGAATCAGATTAAGAGTATTCTGTACAATTACAATCCTTATAAAAAAGGGAGATCCAAAAATTTTAGATCTAGAGCCTGTTTGGGAGTGATTTAGAGAATTAATTTTTTGACCGTTGGGAGAAAAGTAGAGTTCACTTGTGAGAGAAGAAATCAAATATGATGGCTTGAATAGTGAAATAACGGTTAAAAAATTAAATTTTTTAGGGGAAAAATCACTTCCAAACATGTTCTTAAAGATAAGAACAAGGATCAACTGAAATCTAAGAGTCAAGTCAAGAAATGTTATTATTGTGGAGAAAGTGGACACATTTCATAAAAAAATTGCTTTAAGAAGATATCTAAGCCTGCAATATTGAATCTGATATACAAGGAGTTGTCCTTATTACTACAACTAAAAGAAACCCGGAAGAATGGGTTCTAAATTCTGGTTGTTCTTTTCACAAGTGTCCCATCAAAGAATAGTTCACTGAATTTGAAGACCTAAATGGTGGTCAAGTTTAGATGGGAAATGGTATCACTTGTCAAATAAAATGTATTGGAAAACATAACCTTTTATCGGAAAATAGTCATATTCTTAAGTTGCCTAAAACCAGATATGTACCTGATATTCAGAAAAATTTGATTTCGTGGGGAGAATTGGATGATGAATATGAAATAAAATTCATAAAGGATATACAAAAATATGTCTTTAACTCATAGGAAATAATTTCTTCTCCTAAAGCCAATGGAATTTGCACACTACAAGCTGAAACACTAGTTTGAAATAGTTTTGCATTTATGAAATCCCATGGTGATAAATCCTTAACTTGGCATAAGAGACTTGGCCATATTAGTGAAATAGAATTGATGATTTTAAATAAACTTGGATGTTTTTGGAAAACATAGCATTGAAAATTGGAGTTTCGCAAAGATTGTGTCGTTGGAAAACAAAATAAGTTGTCTTTTAAAATTGGAATTCATAAATCCACTTCAATACTTGAGTATTTAAATGCTGACACGTGAGGTCCAGCATTAGTAAATACATTAAGCGGATTTAGTAGATGATGTTCTATAGCTACTTATAGTAGATGATGTTTCAAGAAAAAATTGGACTTTTCTTTTAAAATCTGAGTCCGACACTTTCCAAAACTTTAAACAATGGAATGTGATGATTGAAAATCAAACTAATAAGAAAATCAAAACACTTAGAATAGATAATGGTTTGGAATTTTGTAAATTTTGAATTTGACTATTTTTGTAAAGAATCTGGAATTGCGAGGCATAGAACAATAACGTACTCTCCTCAATAAAATGGTATTATTGAGAGAATGAACAGAACCTTGTTGGAAAAGGTGAGACATATGTTGCTAAGTTCTGGTCTCCTAAAACTTTTATGGGGAGAAGCCATATAAGCTACCACTTATCTGATTAATGGAAGGGTTAGTATATTTATATACTTTTGGTATATATAATCGTTTACACCCCCTCACATAGAGGATGCCTATTCATTATGGGCCCCTTGATGTGAAGGGAGTGTAAACGATTATGTACACCAAAAGTGTACATGTAGCATAGCCTTTAATAAAATTCCTTTAAGTGCTATTGATTTTTAAATCCTTGAAACACTATGGTTTGAAAAGTCTCCAAACTATTTTAAACATAAGATTTTTGGCTGCGCTACCTACTCTCATCAAAATGAGGGCAAACTTGAATCCAGGTTTTGAAAATGTGTTTCCCTGGGTTATGGAGAGGAAACTAAAGGTTATATCACTTTTTCAGAACGAAGAGGCAAGTATGACACAATATGAAGTATTAATCGTACAAGCAAAAAAAGATTAAATCAAGAAAGGAGACTGACAGAGGAACAAAGTAATTTTATTAACTTACGATTAATGGAGAGAAAAATACAATTTCAGCAATCTTTGTAATACCTAAACTGAATGAAGAGTCTACTATGTATAGGGGACATGTCAAAACCAGAGAAGTAACCTAAAAGGTGAAAACTATGTCAAAATATGAGTGAAACTGATATAAAGCGAAAAATCCGAATGGCACTGTCACTCGAGTGCTGTCTAGAATACCTATTAGAATTTGGTCACATTACAACAATTCATTAATAAATATAAAAAACATAGTACAAAAGAAAAATACTACAATACTGAAAATATTAAATCATGTCATTAAAAAATAGAGCAATGCATTTCGAATTAGGATATTACGCTATTATGAAGTCGAAATATTATTGCAATTTAACTATTGGGATTCATATGTTCTTCCCACAAATGATCGATTAAGAAATAATCGTGTTTGTTGTATTTTAAATTTTTTTTCTTCTTTTAATTAATTCATTAATTATTATTTTTCAACATTTAAAATTTATTTTAAATGCAAATAATAATAATTAGCCCTTGTTTGATCCCCATCCTTCTAAAAGTTCATTTTTTCAAAACTCATTTTCAGCCACATATTCTTCAATAAAATAATATTACATGTAAATTCAAAAATTTTCTTTAATTTTCAACCACACATTCTCCATAAATCTATTATTCAAAATGCATTACTTTCCCCAAAATGAGGAATAAACAAGGGCTAAAAATAAAATAAAAAATAAAATTATTTATTGTATTAAAAAATATATAGCATAAATGACACAAATACCCTTAATCAATTTATTTGGAAAATGAAAAGAAAAGGTAAAAATGACTTTTTACACTTTGCACCATTGACTTTGCACCAAAATGGTGCAAAGTATAGTGTTGCATTGGGGTTGTTTTGCATCAAAAAATGGTGCATTTTGGTGTTTTGGGTCATACATTGGAGATGGCCGTACAGCACAATTAATGAACAAATAAACATTGAGCAATGCCTATGTCATTCTATGCCAATAAAATTACTATCAGTAACATGTAGAAAACTGTGAAATGTTGATGACTATGAGAATTTAAAACATAAAAAAAAAAAAAAAAAAAAAAAAAAAAAAAAAAAAAAAAAAAAAAAAAAAAAAAAAAAAAAAAAGGTGCATGTAATAAATAGAATTAAACTTCACCTGCAAAATTACAGTTAGCAGAAGTCAAGGAGGAGTTGGCTGTAGAAGTTAAGGTTTCTTTGCAGAGATCACTGAGCTGAGATTCAATGTTGCTCAAGAAAATTGTGGCTTCATCAAATGGCTTTGATATTTCCTCCGTGTATTTGTGTAAAACCTCACAATATGATTCCTCCAAAACACAGACAAATAAAGGTTAGACTCAGAATAATACGAAGAACAAACTAGTCCTTGCTTCCCATAAAAATTACACGTCAGCTACATGAATCATTTTACACTTCTCCGTTCAACTCATGCAATATAAACTCAGTGCAGTAATTGTTATAAATATTTTACCATAAATTTATCAAGTTCAGGATAAGTTCCAATCTGAGTGGGGGCATAAATAGGGTTGCTTTCTTTGCTGATTTCTTCAAGAAATGAGGCCACTTCTGGTGGTGCTCCCACCTACTAACGTAAACAAACTATGTAAAAACATTCTTACACTACTGGAACACAGAGATAAACAGAAAAATATTTATGTGGGCCTTTATAAAGAAGAACAGTGAAGAAAAGCGTGTATCTTGCAAATTATTCAACAGGGTTACCTTTCGACAATCGATGTAGGCAGATACTAAATTAGGATAAAGAGGGTGATTAGCAATCTGGGCCTTGATTATATCTGAAATTTCTGATCCTTTGATCTCATGATGAGTTTGAGCTGCTTGTATTAAACCCAGATGATGATCACTAAACCCTCCCGTACTGTTATTATCAATAGGAAATGAAATCGAGGAATGAAGTCTGTATAATTCATCCATAATTAGTAGTGTTGATCGTACTTGCGGAGATATAAGATTGTGACAAAAGAATATGACAAAAACAGTTATTCTTGAATATGAACACCCACAATAGTGTGTGTTTTTAAATTAAACCCCATGCTGAAAGATCAAGAACCAAGAACCAAGAAATCAGGACAGTGAATCCAACAGAAAGTTCTATGCTGGGATTGTTAAGAAAAAACTGGCCACAACTTCAACGATTTGAAGTAGGGCAAAAATCATCAAAAAAGAAGGAGGAGAGAGAGAAAACATGGGAAAGATAGAGAATTTTTCCACCTGAGTAAAAAGTTGAAAAAGACCAGACCAGAGTTTCTGTTGTAAACATAATTAGGGAAACACACGCAAGCACACAGAGAAAAAAGATAAAATATTGAGTAATGATGTTTGTGCAGGCTTAAAGATAGAAAAAAGCAGACTGACTTGACAGCATGATTGGGAGTTTACTATTTTTATTTTTTAAATAATTCAATCATATATTAATACATGTGTACCCCATTTTTGAGCCAATTTTTTTAGCGTATTTGTGTAGCATTGTTTTTTTAGCCCGTTTGTGTAGGCTAAAATAAATAATATTAGCCTGGTTTAGGAATGGACGAGAGTAAAGAGAATGGATGGACGGGGCAGGAGCAGTAGGGTATACCAAATGCACTTTCGCACGTTCTGTAACACTGTCTAAACAGAGATTTTGATACACTACTAGGATTCTACATAGATTCAGAGTTGGGGAGAAAGAGAGACAGCGAGCGAGAGAGAGATTTATACTGTAATGGGATGACAATATGCCATGTTTCGAAAGGGAATTGGTTAAAAAAAAATTAATACAGTGGTTTCACTTTTGACAGCACTGCTTTTTTTTTTTTTTTTGCACTGATACTTAACTCACTCCTCTCTTGTCTCTTCGAAATAATACTCCCACAAGGGGTGGAAGTTTACTTTTCCATTGTAGTTTGCACTATCTTTCTCGTGACGTTCGAATCTAGTTACTGTTTGATTTAGTTAAAGTTTTAAGTTAATTTTGATAAAAGTTACATATCTCATGACATACATGTTTAAAAATAAATTGGGGAAAAAAATTTAAAAATGAAGTCCAAACAATGACTTAATGAAGTAAACTCCCCCACATTTACTCCTACAAATTGTGTTCTGTTAACAAGTGTCCAAGACAAACGTTGTGGGTCGATGAATAGTTTTTGAGTGATAAACATTGGAGCAAAATCAATTGTGCATACAGCCAATTAAACCAATGAAAATGCAATGGCTAAAAATTCTTTGATCCTTAAATCAGATTAGGGTTTGATATTAAAAATGTAAATGGATAAAATTTCGATATATGAAAGTAACCTTGTATCATATTTTTGGCTTTTTGCTTAAAAATAAATGAGTATGAGAAATTGTAGATGATGCTTTCGAGCATTTATACGACATTGTGGACAAGAAGATAGTTAGTCGTTTAATTCACTTTTCATGTTGTTTATCTACAACCACCATTTGTCACAAATGTCTGTTGCATCTATTTGTTGTAATTGTAAGAATTAAACATCTTTACTAGAAAGAAATTGGCATTCTTGCCGACCTCTACTCATATGGAAGTGGTGTCCATGTGAATAAAAAGAGTAAAAAAAAAATCCTCCCCTCCCCTCTACTGTGAGTATACTGTCAAACCTTCCCTAACAGCATAACAGAATTGTAATTGTAATTAACTAGTCAACTCTATAGTGTTTTGGAGCCTTGGGTACTTGATATCGAGGTGATCAATAAACATTAGGGTAATTGGTGCAATAAGTCCTTAAATGTTGGTATTTTAGTGGAATAACTTCCTAACATTTCATTTTGGTGTTGAAGTCCCTAAAAGTTCATTCTTTGGCGCCACTAGTCCTTTTGGATGGGTTCCTTCCCATTGCTCGCTACCAAACATCCAAAATATTGAAGGGCATTTTGATAGTTTTCACACTTGTTGATTACTAGCGTATATCTCAAACAAATTTTGACAGTGTTCACACTTGTTGAACTCAAAGGTGGCATATTTAGTATGAACTCACCTCATAATTTCAGTGTTCTCGAAGAAAATGCCTTGCCATCACATGTACAAAAATGTTAACGGACAAAGAGGAAGATTATAAAATAAACAGTCAACATATAAGATATTGAATTTCTCATCTTACAAGTTTGAATTTTAAAAATAAAATCCTAAATTTAATATAGTATCAGAATCCAGTAAACTTAAACTAAAATCTCCACTCGATCAAGACTAAAAACTGAGTAGATGAAATTTCAAGATTCATATGCTTAAATGAAGCACAATGTTTACGGGACATGAGAAAAATTAAATGTCGAAAGATAATAAAATAAGCAATCATCATATAAGGTACTATGCTATTTCTCTTGACAAAGTTAACCATTCGAGATATGAAATAAAATTTTAAACATGTGGATCGTAGACATCATATATGTTACTCTAATGACATGACATTCCGCCATGTTTCGAAAGGGATTTGGTTAAAAAAATTTAGATACGGTGATTTTATTCACTTTTGACTGCACTGTCTTTTTTTCACCAATCACTCACTCTGTTGTCTGTTCAAAATAATATTCCCACAAGCGGTGGAACTGTGGAAGTTCAGTTTTCCATTGTAGTTTGCACTATCTTTCCTTCTCGTGATGTTCGAATCTAACGTTTAGTTAAAAATTAAATTTTTATTAACTTTTGATAAAAAAATAAAATAAAATAGATAAAACGTGTTGTTAAAAATTGATAAAATTGTGAATTTAATAAAATGTGTACTTAAAAATAAATTTATGAAAAAAATTAAATAATGGGTTAATGAAATGTAAGCATTCTGCATTAGTGTGGTAAAACTCTCCCACATCACTCCCATAAATTGTGTTAAAAGTGTTTAAGAAAAACGTTGAGGGTCGATGAATAAAATCGAGCCAAATCTATTGTGCCGTGCGTACAGCCAATTAAATCAATGAAAATGCAATAGCTTAAATACTTGATCCTTGAATCATATTAGGATTTGATATTAAAAAAGTAGAAGGATGATAAGTGAATTTTGTACAATTATCAAACCCATTAAATTAGGATATTTTATAGTACTTTTGATGAACTATAATTTAATGTCATGTATTTATCATTTGTTAGGTACAACTTAATGATTGGACATAGAATTGAAAGAAATGAATGAAAAATCGATAAAAAAGGATAATTTTTAAAATTCGAAGACCAAATTGTAGAAATATAGTAGTTGATTCGGAGTAAGGAATGATGAACTATGAATGCATTGAATCAATTGGATGAAATTGAAAAGCAAAGGACTTGATTTGTATGAAGAAATGACTCAAGTTGAACATTGGAGAAAATTTGGGGACCTAATCGCAATTTTCCAAAAATTAGTATTGTTCGAGCTCACCATACTATGTGTTGCGCACTCACCCTTTAAAACTTCAACACCTGATAAAAGTGTAAAATATAATATTTTTCCCTTTTAATTATTGCATTTTTGCGATTATCTCATACAAAAATGCATTCATTATTCTTATGTTTTGATTCAGATTATATTTTGATAGAAAAATGTTGAAGTTAGAAGAAAGGAGCGAAAAAGGACCAAAGTAAACGTTTAGGATCAAGTTGCAAATAATCTAAAGATGAGACGAGCGATGGAATGATGATTCGAAAAAGCTAGGAGTTCATTGGGTGCAATTAAAAGTCAAAAAGAAATTAACTATGACCATAATATTTTCACAAATTAAATTTCGACCGCATAAGGATATTCCAAATTTTGAGTAGGAGATTGAGATCCACTTTTGACCTAGTAAACGTTTGAATTTGGAAATAGTTACTTCTAGTAAAATTGTAGCCATTTGTGTTAGCTTTCCAACGCAGTTTGAATTGTCTTAATCGGACATCAAGAAAGATAGTTATGGTGAAAATACTGAAAGCAGTCACACATAACAATTTTTTTTGCCGAATCTTCAAGTTTCCTTATTCCGTTCAACCTCTTTTAGAAATAATTTGACACTCGATTTTAAGCCCTAATTCGACCAAAAGATGCCCCCTCGTATCTCCTATCTCTCTTCTCTCGTCTTGGACACAAGAAATCAATGAAGAACTAAATTATTTGGTGAATCCACGAAGGATTTTGATCGGATTTGAGGATTTCAACGTCGTTTCATTCATGTAATGTGATTTTTATTATTAGATAATTCTAGGACTCAGATTTCATCTTTATATTATACTTTTGAGGGTTGCTTAACTTTTATTAAATCTATCATGGATTTAATAATGTTTTTTTAATCGATTGATTACAATGTTTGTTGAGTTTAAATTGTTTCAATAATTTATTGATATAATTTGATTACTGCTTTATGCTAAGGTATATTGTCATTTTTTTGAATCTTGTTTTAATAAATCAAGCTGAATTTGTTTTAGGAAGTATAAATTCTAGGATTACAAGTGAAACAAATTGATCTAGGTTTCTCCTTTTATGAATTGGTTTTGAAATTGATTTAACTTTTATTAGATTGGCTATAGATTCAATCATGTTTTTCTCTATCAATTGATCAAAATAATTGTTGAGTTTCAATTTCATTTATGTCATTGGTGGTTTAATTATTTCTGTTTACTTGATATATATAGACGTTTCCTAATCTTATTTTAATGAACAAATGTGGGAATGTGTCATAAAAAAGCCTAGATTTTTGGAGTAAAATGCATGAATGATTGATATTGATTGATCCAATCCGAAAAAGTGAATTTCGGCGCTTTACTAATCTCACACTTTGATATTTAAATTTCATTTAAATTGATAAATTCCTTTCACAACCACGAAAACCTTAGTTTGTCAAATTCTTTAAACAATTCGTCCATCTCCCTGTGGAATCGACACCCCAAAATTGTGCTACAATTACCACATTATTCTTTGGGCGTAATTAGCACCCGAGACTAAATTGTTAAAATCCGTGCGAATGCAATAAAGAAGGCACTTTCAGAGACAGATGGAGGCAATTTTCCTTATTCAAATGAAATTCTTTTGGAACTCAAATTGAACGTAATTTTGACCTAAAATTTGCCACCTATAAATACACAATAAGAGAAAACATTTAAGGGAATCTATATCCCACCTCTCCTATCATAAAATCTTTAAAAAAAACAAGGTCAAATTTATCATAAGTTGAAGAGGAGAAACAATTTAGCATGTGGATTGAATCAAGAAATATCAAGGACTTGAAGAGTCAAATCTCAAGGTTGAAGATCGAGAACAATAAATTGCTGTCACATATTTCTTGTATTCATTTAATTTCAGGTGATGATTTTACATTGTTCTTGTTGTTTTATCTT